TAAATTAATCATATTTTTAACTAATTTATCCCTTAATTAATCCATTTTTTCCAGATTTGAAGTTTTAGGATGTTACAATATGCATCATTACCTACTAAAATAGCATATCAATATTTCACAAAACTCACAACAATCCAAACAAGCAAGTAAAAAGATGAGATGATTTAGTTACCTCAATACTTTTGTAAAAAAAAAAGGGTTACTTGTGGAAATTACACACTCCACTAGCCTCCAATTGCTCAAAAGGTATTCAAGGAACAATAATCTATGTGATTAAACACTACTAATTAATTTTCGACTCTAATGTACATACTTTTAAGCTAATATTAGCTGTCCACACTCTCCAACTTCAATCATTAACTTAACCAAAGCTCTAACAACCCTCTATTAAATCCATTTATCTTCCATAAACTTAAATAACACTAAATTGTGGTTCACATTCTCCCAAAATGCCACTTTGAGCCTAGGGTTTGTCCAAACTCTAGAGCCCAAATCCAAAATATCACAAAAACACTAAACCTAGGTATAAAACCCTTAGATAACACCCAATAATCCCATTTACATAAGTTGATTTGAACAAAACCCAAGGAAAGATGAAATCATCATCCTTCAACACCCAACTCAACAAAAAATTCTCATAGAGAGGAGGGGGAATGATTAGGAAGCTTACCTAAGTATTAATCTAGCCCAAAATGCCCTCTAAAGTGACCAAAGATTGAAGCCATAGCAAACCCAAGCTCTCTTGCCATTTCCTCTCTCGTTTTCTCTCTTCCTTTTCTCTATTTTTCAAATGTTGCCCGCTATAGATTTAACAAAAATTTCCTTTGTCCACCATGGTGCAAGGTGCATCCACAACGGAAGATGGCTTAGTAATCCTAATCTAAGAATTAGGCCCTAATCTTAAGCTCGGTTATCTAATACCCCTCCTAACCCAAAACAAAGACTGCCCAATGTTCCAACAAGTATATTAGTATTCTAAAAGCGTGATTAACTCATTTAATACTCTCATTGACTAATTTTTCCTCTCTTACCACATGAGTTCCAAAAGTTAAAATTTGAGATGTTACATATTGTAAGCACTCATCTTATTTACTCATTATTATTTTAATTTTTTAATTATCACAAAATATGATAGGTATTATGATGGGTGTTCAGAACACCCTTCATAATTCATATAATTTTTATTTTTTATAGTTTTCAAAAAAATGATTGAAAAATATGACTGGTACACTGTTTAAACACTCATCATATATATTAAAATTAAGTATGACTTTGGTGTTGTCATTCTGTACCTCTCCTTTATATTCCGGATTTTCTTAAAACCATGATATTGTGGAGTATATATCTAATATGCAGAATCATGTAGTCGTGCATAAGCCATAGATTATAAACCAAATGTAATTCAAAATGTGTAATAGATTATAAACCAATCATTTCATATAAGTTGTAATATTCTCCTTCTTATCTTTTTATAAGACATTTTTAAACAGCTTATTAGAACTAAGAAAATGTGGTTAAACTATTAATTTTGTCTAAAAAAATTAATGAATTTTTAATTTTATCCATGTTTAAGCCACACGTTATACAAATATTGAAAATTATTACATTCTCTCACATTTTTCAATACACTTTTGGTGGAGATAACATTAGAAAGATATAATAAATATTTAATCAAATCACTTATGAAAAAGAACAATATAATCATCTCTCCTAGATTTAATATGTGTCTTATAATAAGAATTAGATATACTCCTTTAGTCTAATTTATAGGACAAAGAGAGAAAAAAAAGTTTAGTTCTATTTACAGGGTAATTGTCAATTTTAATTTTTCTCTCTATATTTTTGCCCTTATTAGATATTTTAAACAAAAATATTAGTAATGATATTTAAGAATATTTATTAGGGTTAAAGGTGAAAACTTATTAAATTTTAAGACAAAATTAATGAGATTTAAGTTTTTTTTAATTTTAATAAAATATATTAAAAGTAATTTATAAATAAGATTAGAGAGAGTAAGACACTTTGAGAGACACCCTCAGATCATTTGTTCCATTTGTGCAAACAAGATTTACATCACCGTTTACCAAAACAGCCAATAGTTCATGAGGGCCGGGCGCCTTCAAAATTGTGCTTCTTATCCACTCAAAGTTACCCAAACCAGAGCATGACTCTATGCGAAAAGTCTGGTCAATCCATCTATTCTCACTCATCTAATTTAATTTTGCTTGCCAATTTCAACTTGCATCACCCCTATTTCACATCATTTTAATATATTATACTCGCCATTATATAAATCCCTCCATTTTCCACAGTTGCACTATTAAATTCGTGTTTAGATTTAGTAGTCATCCAATGAAAATGACTATTCTATTTATTATTTTTCTTCATATAATTAAACTTGAAAAGCCCTTTCCATTTTTGCAAGCAAATCAAAATTACTTCCTCCATCCCTATATAAAGAATGTTTTATAAAAGTTTGTTTTGTCCTTACATATAAAGGATGTCATCATGTTTTTGAGTAACTAGACAATTTTATCATTGTCTTAGAAAAAAAAAAGTATTAGTTGTGTGTTTTACTCAAAACCATCATGATATTAATTGACATTATTAAGGGCAAAATTAAAAAATTATTGTGATTTAATAGGGTTTCAACTAAATAACACATTTTTATTAATATGCATGATTCAGTTAAAAACACCTTATATATAGGAATGAAGGAAATGTATACTCTTTCTAAACTTATTTATAAGGTAGAGAGAAAATTTTTTTATCCTAATTATAAAGCAGGTCATTTACTTTTTTCTTCTAATCCCATATTAAATTTTGTATATGTTATTAAAGTATGCATATTTAATAAGGGTAAATTTAAAAATTTATTAAATTATTAAATAGAATTAATGAGTTTTAAAGTTTTTTTTTAATTTTAGTAAACTATGACACATAGTGACTTAAAATAATACCACAATAACAATCTATTTTGCTTCACTATAATATATTACTTTTTTTATTTTACCCCTAAAAATAATATATTAATATTTTATTTTATTTTTATTCTTTTTTAAATAAAAATATATTAAACTTTCAAAATAAGAAAATGTTAAGAGATTCAATCTTAACAAGTTCGGTTTGAAGGTAAGAGTAACTTAAATATATACACGAGGAAATTAAGTATTTTTTATATAAAAATGATACTCATAATTTATTTACTTTTTAAAAAAGTTACGTATAACTCCGTTGAGTTTCGATGAATATGCAAATGTCTTGTATTTTTAAAATGCTCTCAATTTTTATGTGACAGAGTTATTGTAATTTATCTTTTTTTAAAGAATTTCATGAAGGATATTAAGATCAATAAATATTTAAATAATTTAAGAAAATAAAACTAAAGAATGTTTGTGTCATTGATGAAACGGCCATTCAGAGATAGGATTTAGGCTCAGATTCAAATTCAAAATTAAATTTACCTTAATTATTGATTTAATTTTGAAATTTAATCATTTATCAATCAAGTATCTAAAATTTCATAGTTAACCATATTCAATTAGTCATCATGAATGTTATTTCTCTCTCAAATCGCAATGACTAATTGTATGATTATAAAATTGTAAATAATTATTGATAAAAATTAAAGGTGAAAAATCACGTCAATAATTAAAGCCAACTGATCAATTCAAAAATTTCATTATCCCACCTTTTTATTATTCAAAAAGTTTATACAAGTTCCGAAAACATATGAATAATTAATTATAACAATAAAATAATAGTAAAATTGAATGAATTCAGTTTGATTGAAATCTAACGTATGATTACTTTACTCTGTAATTAGTACTCCTCTAATACTCCCTCCACCCAAATTATAAGTTAATTTTGGAGAAATTTTCCTATTTCAAAATATAAAATAATTTAAAAAAATAATATTTTGCTAATGATATCTTTTCATTATTACTTTTTAAGTTGATAGAAAATTGAAATAATATCATAACATAATGATTAAGTTTGCAGAGACATTTTTAAAAATTTATAATTTTATTTTTTAAGAAAGTAAATGTCTAAAGTGTCATTGTTATATGTTATTAATATGTATAATCTTGTTTTAAGTTATCTTATAATTTAGGATAGAAAAAATACTATTTATAAAGCGCAAAGATAATACTTATTTTGATCATATTTATAAATATTTTAATAATTATTTTATCCACCTCTATCCTTTTGTCTTTATTAAATATTAATAAAATTATTAAATATTAAAATATTTTATTTTTATAAGGTACGTGTATTTAATAGAAATAAAATTTAAAACCCATTAAAATTTTTAAATAAAATTTTAAGTTTTCTTTTAACTTTGGTCAAAATATTAAAAGTGACATAAATGGGAACGGAGCCAGTTAATGACTAATAAACAGCAATAACAACTAAAATAATACTAATTTCCATGAATAATCTACATTGGACCGGCTCTTGTACCTAAAAATAAAAAAGATTTGACCCTGCCACCCAAGGCTGAATCGTCTCACATATCGACAAAAAATGAGCATCCCCGCGCTGCCTGGGTCACACTGACACACCCACTTATTTCCCGAATTTGTTTTTTCTTTTTTAATTATTTTTCTATTTTCTATTATCAGTTTATCACATGAACTTTTCTATCCTCTTTTAAAATTTTGACCTGTCAACAGTCACATTTTAAAATTTCTTCCTTTTATTAAATCATGTACTCCTATATTAAACTGGTATGCCTGCGTGGCCAATCATATTGTCAACGAACTGTTGGACGCGGTGAAACATTCAACTTGACAACTTCGATGGGAAGAGAGAGGGAAGCAACCACGTGCCTGATGTGGAATCATGACCGAACCGGGTTAACCATTTGATTTTATCGTTAAACCGATATTTTAACACATTTAATAAAATGACCAATCATTATCTTAATTGGTTTCATGATATTTTGGTTTTCAAGATCTTCGATTTGAAAGAGACAAAACAAAAATCAATAGGCTACATTGGACCAAAAAAACCCTTAGACAAGGATCCGAATCATCTGCAAAACTCGACAAGGCTCTCGTTAATGAGCGGTAAAAATAAAACAGAATCTCTTGTAAGAATCTTTTCCTTTACCAATATAAAACTAATTTTTTATATTTTTATTATCAGCTTTTTATTAATGCTATAGTAAGTTTTTTTTTTAAAAAAAAGATCTGATAATAAAAATATAAAAAAGAAAATAAAAACTGTGTATGTCAGTTGAATCTAACCTAACAAATTAAAAAAAGACAGAAAACTGAAACGATTGAGAGGAGCAGAGTTGTGAGAGCGAACACTGAACCGGGTTGGCTCAACCAGGACTAGACCGGCTGAGGGGGGAGAAGTGCTTTTGCAGATTAGGAGTCAAACCGGGTTCAGGATTCGGATATGACCCATCCGCCAGATTGCCACTTGTGCTATTTTCCCCTCCGCCACCAATTCCGATTCCTCCGTGGAGGTCGCCAGCACCTAGCAAGAACTTATCCATCATGGCCGCCATGTTTGGTATCAAAATTTCATCATGAGAGTCCAAGGGTAACTCATCTTCAGGAAAGGGGCTAGTGGCTTCATTGTTGCTTAACATGGGTTCGTCAGCGCACTCGTCGTTAGCCGCCACCGCCGTCAAAGGCGTTGTCGGAGAAAGCTGTGAAGATGACAATGCCCGGTTTGCTGTATTATTGCCAGGCGAAACAGATTCATCAAGAGAGTCGGGTTGACGCATCGTCGTCGTCGTCGATGGTTTGTTCCTGGTACTACCGGCGAGTGAGTTCCGGTGGGTGGGTAAGGGATGCGTGTGTTCTCCGGTGTAGGTGACGATGAACATATCTGGTTCAGTATTGCTCCGTTCTACTTGCTTCCGTGCCCCACAACCTTTTGAACTGCTGCATCTGTAATAGTTCCTGCGACATACATCGTCAGAGTTATTACAGGCGAAACCCAGAAAAATTCAGTTTTCCCGAGGAAACGACAGAAAGTGTGAGAAAAACTGAGAAATTAGAGATGTTCAGCTCAGTTCATACCTTGGATATGGAGAACCTTTAATGGGCTTTTGGCCATATTTTCTCCACGCCCACGAATCCGCCGTGAGGTTTTCAGCTGTGACATGGCAAACCATTCTTTTCTGTTGACTCTTTCTGCAGAATTACACAGTGAAAGATCTATCTGATATATATATATATATATATATATAACTTGCATATAAAACAAACAGAAATATTCCATTTCAATACCTTTTTCTCGATCTGGTTGCTTGAGCAGGTAAAGTCATACCAGAATTATTATTACTACCGCCGCCGCCACTGATCTGACCTGGTGGTATTTGAAATTGCTGTTTCTGAGGAACTAGTTGTAGTTGATTTTGGTCATGGAATTTTTGAAAGCCAGAAGAAGAAGTGGGGGATGAGGCTTGTGGAATAAAATGAGGCCTACTATTGGACGCGTAAGAAGAAGCAGATGCCACAAGTGGCGCAGTATTACAATTATCATTGTTGTTGTTGTTGTCATTTTCACTGCTACTGGACCCTGCAGCTACTGGAAAATTAGTAAAAGAGGAATTGGGATAGATGCCACAAGCACTAGTAGAGATAGTGGTGGTGGGGATAAAGGGTATAAACAATTGGTGTAGTTCTTGGAACCCATTGGTTCTGGATTGTGCCAAACTGGAAAAAGAGAGGACGTCATTTTCTTGCTTGATGAATGGTAAAGAAACGTTGACCTTGGAAGAAGAAGAAGAAGACGACGACGACGACGTAATAGAAGTAGAACTAGCAGTGGTGGTGGTGGTACTGGCGGCAAGAGAGGATGATCTGCAACCTCGCACGACGGCGGAGAGATCCCAGTCTTCGGCCATTTAGTGTGAGGAAAGAGAGAGATCTGTAAATTCCCGCAGTATCAGAGTGTGTCTGGCCAATTGAAGTGAGAACCAGAAAGAAAGAGAGAAGAAGAGAAACATAAGACAGAAGGAGATAAAAGAGATGCACAAAGGACGGCGCTGACTTTTTGGGTTAATGAAAAGCCTTAGAGAGAGAGAGAGAGAGAGAGAGAGAGAGAGAGAGAGAGGTAATGGAAGAAGCAAGAAGAATGGTGGTGGCGCACTGGCTGACTCGGGTGATTCTTAATTATTTATACCCAGAAAAATATGCAGTATTTGTTGAAAAAAAGAAAATGAAAGAAATGAAAGCGATATTATTTTTTGGCAACAAATCATATAATATTTAGTATTATTATTTTAATTGGATCCTACTTAATTACCAATTAGATATAAACTCTCGCAATATAAATATTTTGTTAATTTTTTATGGAAAAAACTTATATAATTAACTTTATATACTTTAAATTACTTATTTTTAATTAAATCAATACATGTTTATCATTTATATATTATTTATTTTATAATAAATTATTATTATTATTATTATTATTATTATATCAAAATTTAATTGTTTTAATTTGATTGAATAAAAATATATTAAATATATAAGACTAAATATATAAGTCATACGCTTTTCCCTGTTATTTATTTAGAGGAACATGTATTGACAACTTAAAATTACAAGTATGATTGAATCCAAAACCTTCCAGTTATAGAAAAACTTACATGACACCAAGCTGCAAAGTTAATAACAATATTTTGTCACGTTAAATTTAAGATTTTATTTTATCGATCCTTTAATTTTTACAAGACCCTTTTGGATGGTTTGTTTTGATCCACTGTATTAACTACTTTTTTCAAAAATTCTCTTAATTACGTCACATTTAATTAGGTGGAAAGAGGTCAGGAAAGTTTAATGATTCATAGGATTATTCTAAAATATATAAATTATTGATAAATCTAATACAAATAACTAAATTGATTAAATTTCTTCAATTCTAGTAAAATGGTTAAAAATGTCCTGTAAGTGAAAGTAGAGGAGCAGTTAAAAAAAAGAAGAAGAAGAAGAAAGAATTACATTTAAATTTCACAATATACAACTAAATCTTACAAAATTCATTAACAGTTGAGAAAAACAAAATATAAGTTATTTTAGTTTTCATTTTCATTTTATTACACTCAATTATTAATAAATTTTATAATATTTAATTATGTTTAAAGGAACTAACTTTTTTTAAAAAAAAATTGATAGTAGCGGATGGAGAAAGGTTCAATTGTTTAATTGGTGAAAAGGGGGAAATTGGGATGCCATTTAGATTGACTTTGGAAAATGTCAAAGGGAGGAACCCAGCCAAAGGTGGGAAGACGAGGACGATGATTCCGATGCCGTGAGATATGCGGTGCCTACGCTACAATATTGCCCACTTATAGTAGTACTCGATGTCCTATTGGTGTCCGCGTCCTCACGATATTGTCATTTCATGTTTGTTCCACGCGCCTCTCACGAGATTGTCACTGGTTTACTGAAAGCCAAAGATACTCTGCATCAGCGTCTTGCATTTCAAGTTACAGTTAAAGCCGAAAATAAAAATCGAGTCTGAAGGGCTAGGCTCATAGATTTTATTTAAATAAAAATTTGAATTTTAAAAATTATTTTTTAAAAAAAGTCAGGCTTGAGGATCTGATCCTGATAAGTTTTGTGAAAAAAGGCTCGGGCCCGAGCGGCCCTCCAAGCCCTGATAAACCTGATTATTTTATATATATATACACACACATATATATATTTGATTGATAATGACACAATTTAGTTAATATTTATTTTACGTGATGAAAAAGAAGTTATAAAGGTAATTGACATTGAATTTTCACCTTCATCTTCAACAAATACACTTACATTCGAGGGATCTAATGCTTTATTTGTAGATGATGAGGATGAGGAGGATTTGAGTTTTGATTAATAAATGTGTTTTGTTTAGATTTCTAAATATGTTATTTAATTTTTAAAATATTGTGTGGATTTTAATTTTAAAATATTTTAATTAATTTATAATGTTTAATTTTATTTTAATTTTTTTTTATTTTTTTGAACAGAGCTTCCGGGCCCGGCCCTGAGCCCTTTACTTAAGGGCCGAGCCTCAAAAAAGGGGTTGAAAATAGATAACTGGGCTCAAGGGCCTAGGCCCTTAAGGGCCGGGCCCGCCCGTATTCTCAGCTATAGTTTCAATGACCTTCGGCTAGGGTCAAGAATAAAGCCAAAAATATAAGATCAGGCTATATAAATTAGACTGAATATTTAGCTATAAAAGTCGGGTTGAATTAAAAAAAATTAAATCAAATAAAAATTATTTTTTTATGACTCGAACTATATAACCCATGAATCATATGAGTTAACCTTAATAGGCTATGGTTAGCCTCTTTAGCCCATATTAGTTTTTTAAAAAATTAAAAAAAAAAGAAAAAAAGGGAAAGTTTTGTGGATATAAACCATATTAAGCATGAATTATTTAGCTAGATCAATTTATATATTTTGTACAAATATTATAAATTAATATTTGATATATCTAGAATGAATTATAAAGAAATATCAAATTAGAACTTATTATTTAGGTGTATTTTTTTAAAAATTATTAAAATAAATAAATAAATGGGTTGGCAGGTTAGTCAATTTAACCTACTAACCCTCAAGGGTTGGGTTGGGTTGAGTTGGAATTTTTCCAACCCATATAAAACAGATTAAACCTAATCCAACCTACATTTCTCCCAACCCATATGAGCCAATCCATATGAGCCAAATTGGCCCATATTCCTAACTCTAGTCAAGAAGTCGGGGTATCAATTTAAATTTATTAAAGCGCGCGCGCACACACAAACAACTTGTTTAAATTTATTTTTATTTTATTTTAAAAAAATAAAATTTTTAAAATTTTAAATTAAATTTAGATTTTAAAATGTATGCTTATATTTTGATTTTAAAATTGGAGTCTATATTGCTTAATTTTAGTTTTTGCACATTATACATAGTTTGTTTTTTAAATAAAGAATATACAATATTATAATATAAATATAAAATTTCAAGAATTTAAAAATTTTTAAAAATAAAAAAATTAGTACAGGCTTGACCTTGAGCCTAATCAATAAAAGTCGGGCTTAAAGAAATGACCAATTTTATAATAATCTAGTTTTTTGGGCCTAAATCCATATAAGCTGAACTTGCCTAAACTCCAACTTGTTTGTTTTTTTTTTCATTTTTTATTCTTTTACATATTTCAGCTCAATAAATAAATATATAAATAAAACTTTGTTCTTTTACATTAATATGGATATATAAAATTTTTAACAAATTATCCATAAAAAATTGAAATCTATACTCTTAAAGAGTATATTTTGTCATCAGACTAACATTCACTAACTTGTTTTGCAAACTTTTATACTTTGTAGTTTGGTAGTTTAGTTACTATCACTAATTATAAAATTAACAACTAATAATAGCACTAATAATTAATAATTTTTGGTGAAGCATGAACATAAATTAATTGAAGTAAGTCAGCATGAGTAATCAAGTAACGTCTGTTACAATGTATACCTATTTTAGTCTGAGTGTATTTTAACCGTTGTTCTAAAGTCAAGGTTGTTAAACTCAGGGACAAAAAATAAAATGAGAAAATGGCAGTTAAGTCTTGAAAGAGAGAATTAATGACAATTCCTTGTTAAATTTTTCTAAATAATAACTTGTAAATATTGAATTCAAACCATTGTAAATACAAAATTTTCAATAACAAATAAGATATTTAAATTTTAAATATAACTCTTAGTTTGTAATTAAAACTCTTGTTTACAAATATTTAAATTAATATTTGTAACTTAGTTTTTAGAAAACTTTGCGAGACATAACTGACATAACTTCACTTTTATCGTTTTTATTAGCATGTTTGCTCTTACCATGCAATTCGCTCATATTTCACCATCTTTAGTTCTTCATTTTTTTTATTTTTAAACACTTTCATTTGTGGAAATTGTGGTAAAAGACTCTAGAAACTCACCATTTGATTTAGAAATAATGTACTTTTCACTATTTGAGGAAACATTTTTCTAGCATGCCTGCACATTGCGAACCATGTTTTTTGTCACACTTGGTAGGACACATGCATGTGTCTATGGCACCACCATGAGTTGAATAGTTTGAATACGAGGATGATTTCTCTGAACCTAATGAATTAGAGGATTTCCTATTTACTAGGCCCTAACAGCTAGTGTAATATCCTCAACTTTTATTTTAAAAACTAATCATTAATTAAGGATAAATTAGTAAATTAGTAAAATAATTAAATAATTATGACTTTGTAGGATGAAATGACTTTTTGGGTTGATGATTGATTATATAAATATAAATGAGTAGGAGAATGATGATCTAGAGCATAGTGTGTAGGCTACAGTTAGATTTTATTTGATGTGTCATGCACCATGGCGTATGCAGTATGCATTGCGGCTCATGGCATGGAATTTTAATTTATAATATATGGATCAGCTCATGGCTTTAAAGGAAAAAGGGAAAGAAAGCACAAAAGAGAAGGAGAGGGGAGTTGCATATACTAGGGCAAGGATTCAAGGGCACCTAGGGCTTAGTTCTGACCTGTTGCTTACCGGGTAAGTTTTATATCTTCCTACTCTCCTATTCTACCCTAATTTCTCTTAATTTAAGATATAGATAAATTAAATTGGGGAGTTTTAAGGGGTTTTTTTTTCTTACCCTTTAGTAGTGAAAAGATTCTTGAGAGTTAAATGAAAGTTATGCAACTAGTTTAGGAATTAATGATTAAGCTTTGAGACTATAGGATCAATTTAGCCTAAATTGAGGTTTAAAAGGATAAAAAAGCTTGTGTGGATTGTAGGAAGTTTAATGGAAGCTATAGAAGGCATGGGAAAGGTGAATTAGTGTTAAGGTTCTTAATTGGAAGTGGATCAGTGTTAAAAATGAATTTAACTTAGTTAATTGTGTTAATGTACTTGTGGTCAATTTAGTAATTGACTTATAGTATTAAATTGTATAGATTGACGTGTTTGTTTGGATAAATTATTGGAAAAGAAAGTGAAAGTACCATGGGTAACCCTTTCAAGAAACAAAAGGGCTAAAATAACTGAATAATTCCATTATATTTATTAACAAGTCTAACTGTTTATGAGTAAATTTATATAATATAATATAT